TAGATAGAATAGATTCGCACGATCGCACTAGAAAAATACATTATTTATTAATTATTGCAAAGTAGCATAGGAAGAATTTGAATGATAAAATGCCCCGTAGTGAAAATCAGGTAATGAAGTGAGAAGCGTGACTTCAGGCCGTGACTTCGTACCGTGACATAATACCGTGACTTCGTACTGCGACTTGGTGCCGTGTCTTAATACCGCGACTTCGTGCCGTGTCTTAATACCGTGACATAATACCGTGACTTCGTACCGTGACTTCGTACCGTGACTTCGTACCGTGACTTCGTACCGTGACTTCGTACCGTGACTTCGTACCGTGACTTCGTACCGTGACTTGGTGCCCTGACATCGATCTCGCCGCCCCCATACGTGCGGGTTATCTACGATCTGCTGCTCCCGAGATGCAGATCCCATCGATTGTTTGCCAAAGTTTGCATGCCGATGACCCAGCCGTTGTTTTCCTTTCGCTTGTAACTTTTCCGCCCTTCTATTGCTGGAAAATCCGCGTTTTCCGTGTGCGGGCAGATTGGAACAACTGGGCCAACCTCCTGCTGTCTAATAAACCCAAATTATCACGTTAATATGAACAATATATAATTGCTTAACTTAACCATCGTTCAATAATATATTTTCCGCAATATGATAAATGGCTGATATCTACTTGGTAATATATCATTTTTTTGTTATTATTGTTGAGATTTTGTCGTGAATTATGAAATGTATAGAATAACGAGTAATACATGATGTACATTTTCCAATTAACATTTTTCAAATTGGAAGCTGTAGGAGTCTGTTTCATGTACGTTCGCTGGTGACTGAAAAATTCATGTGCACTGAATTGTCCGACGAAGATCGCCTATAAATGCACCAACTTGTCTTACCAGGATTACTATTCACCCTACGAAAAATGTGAATAAGATTGAACGAGTGATCCGAAACGGTCTTAAACCTGCGGTTTTGTAGGCTAAACTCAAACCTGCCTGCCACAATGGAAAAAAAGCATAGATACATGAATGGAAATATCCTTTGTCTCAGTCAAGCTTTACAAACAGATAGCATTTTTATTGTAGGATTAGGGCTTGAGGTGACTTTTGTCTGTATTAGAAGCATGAAAAACATTACAGGCCATTTAGCTGGGCTCCGTATGCCGTGTAACCGCGACGGCAGATTGTGGTCAAGTTATATTGTAGACATTTTTTTTCATTGAAGTAGCTGCGTGTCATCCCGCGTTGCTTAATAATTATCTCCGTGACAGAAACGTCAACAAATTTTTTTTGTTGCTGATTTTATTACCGTGCTCCATATGCTTGAATTTCCTACAGTTTGGCTTTTTCTACAAGGTTTGTCGATGTTGTCTTTGCACCTAACGCGATTTTTCTTCATCCCGGGTTTTCGAAAAATATTAATGAGAAAAATCATTTGCGAATCTTCGTCGGTTCGTGGGTATCTGAGGAAGTTATCGGCAGATTTAAAACACCTGTGGAACTCGATCGGCAGTAAGAGTGTAGTAAGGTTATTATCAGTTAAAATAAGAAAAAATGGGGAAAAATACAATATAATTCTCCATCACGGATTTCATCATTCGCGGTCGAGGTAGAGGGATGTAAAAACACGTACGATAGGTGAGGGATTAGAGTAGTGTTCCACTATATTGATCCTATATATTATCTGGGAGACCATCTCGTTAGAGATACAATCTCTTTACAGATACAGTCTCTTTACATATACAGTCTCTTTACAGATACAGTCTCTTTACATATACAGTCTCTTTACAGATACAGTCTCTTTACATATACAGTCTCTTTACATATACATGGGCTCTGCTGTAAATTTTGCAATGCAATGCAAATCAGCTGTTGTCCCGGTGAATTGCCATGGAATATTATGATATTTTGTTCGGGGAAAATCCAGGTAGATTCAATGGTGCAGAGGCCTATAAAAGGACCGGGCTCGCCTCCATGAGTCAGTCAGTGTTTGGTGAGCGTACTGTGTGGCTAGACTGATGTCGCCCTGCGTGCATCCTATCAGATTCTAGACTTAGTTTATATGTCTTGTCTACATTTTTATAGTTTCAGTTTGATTGATAATATGGTAGATTTCAATATGTCATCTACATAAATAATTTGCTATATTGAAGCAAGTCTGATGGCCGTGAAGTATTATCAGTACAATTCATCTGGAACCTCCGGTTTTTGGTTACTTCGTTTATAAAGTATTTACCATAACTAATTATCATTCTTCTACTTATCACTCTACGAATACTAATCAGTATTTCCTTGCTCGTGATATGTGGGCGTTTTACCATTCATCCTTGTGGGTGTCGTGAAGGTGTTGGTGGTGAAAGTAAAGCATGAAGTGGTCGAGCGCTGGCTGGTCTGAGCGACATGGCCGCGTCTCAAGGATGCAGACTAACGTTACTAGATTTTCTCGGTCATGTTTGAGTCGTTGACTTGGTTAATTACCTTCAAAACTAAGGTAAAATTACTTCATATGGTAATTTAATTCTTACTTGGATAATTGACGGGTGAAATAAATCACTCTGCGTGTGTGTAAGTAACTTGACGAAGTGTATGTAAGGGTAATGTTATTGTGGCATGTTGAATTCTGGGCGACGAATTAAAAACGTTGAGTAACCAACGGTGTACATATACTGATATACCGGGTACTGATGATATAGCATCAAATGTCGCGCAACTTCGACCTTGAATCGATCTAAATTTTCATGCGACAACCAGCGTCATCAATTTCCTTTAACATTTCTCAAAGGATTATTATAAGTATTAATGTTTTTATGGAAACATGAAAATTAGTAGGCGTGATTAAAATGATAATTTTAAGTCAGAGGTTTCTTCTTTTTGCCACGATTAGGTTTGACATTGGAATATCAAAATAATTTCTGCTGATAACTCTCGTTGTAAGGGATTTTTTTTTTGCTTTGTTGTTCTCATATTATGTTATTAGTATGAATCTTCTTATCTATGGGTTAAGCGCAATATTTCCTTTAAAAAAATTCGCGCTCGCACTTCTGCCTTGGTCCTAGTTCACCAAGTTCAATGATTGTTGACATGCTCGTATTTTCCATCAAAAATAAACGTTTTTGTGTACGGCTTAACCTGTGTAGTTGAATTAATACGTTGATGTCATTAGGCTACGTGGTTAGAATAAATTATTAAAAAGTTCGAACTCGCACATTCTCTTTTGATTCTCAGCGTAAACCCTTCCACAGAGGCAGTCCTATCGGATTTTACACATTTTAAACATTCTTTTCCACTTTCCCTATCTTGAACACTGTTCGATGCAGTTCGGACATGCTGATGGACATGCTTTCCCCCCACACAGTTCGACCTATTCATGTTGGCAGTAAATTGATGATAGGTATACAAAGGCATCCAGATATTTTTATTGATTTACCGGTATTTGACAACCTTGTTCTGATTTTCATAGTCTAACGTTCACTTTTTGGACTCATTCCACCCACTAACAATTGGTGATGCGTGATGGTGGTTTTGCTTTAACGATTCAACGCACGTATTCCAATAATGATTTCATAAAATACTGAAATTCTTACGAGCTTTTCTATGTAGTTGAAATAGTTTTCCTATCCTGTATATACTTGTAGATGCACCTACATATTTCACATTATTCAGTTTTACCTAACATGCTGATGTGGGAACCGGTTCCACAAGACTTTGATCGCTCATTTCTTTCTATTTACAATTAATCTGCATTTGATCTTAAATAGTTTACATATTTTTAAATTTTCAAGGCATTCATAGGTAGGTGCACTCAATTTTGCCTCTCGCATTGCTCTAGAATCTAGATTCTAGAAAGATCGTCTTGTGCTATCTTTCTAGTGTAGGTAGTGCTATCCTTCTAATGTAGTTATACTATTTAGAACCTTTTGATATCTTACGTGCAGCTAATATGTTACTAAAATTGTAAAATTTGTTGAAGTGTTTACCTATCACAGATATGTTAGGATTAGTTCCGTTCCTCCAGCATTTGGTCAAAAGTCCATTTCTCTGCTCCGGTAGCTCAGGAGTTAGCGGTGAAAGGCAGGAGCGCTTCCTGCCTCGCTGCGTCAGTTGGGCTGCATTAACATCGCTTTGCCTTGTCTCAACTTTGCTTGACTTCACTCAGCTTGCGATCTTGTCAGTTATCCCGACTATTTTGTCGTTAATTATTATCAGTTACCTCAAAAGGGCATTTTTGAATCATACTATGATTGTTATTATAGATTCTTCCTTAATCCACAAATTTTTGTCCTGCCTTGATTCCTTATTTTGCTCTGCCTTGACTCTCTGGGCTTTTTTATTCCCCAATATGAAATCTTGGGAAATGCCTTCTCGTACATGGAAATTTCTTCAAACATTCTTCTGTAACTCAAATTACTCACTTAATATCAGTTTATCCCTTTCTTTAACTGAACATCAGGCGTTTGATTTTTTAATTGACAAATGACTATAACAATACATGCTAACCATCATTATTTACCGTGCTACCTTCCTTGACTGTTAAGACATGGTGTCTTTCCGTTGCCGGTAGCGCATAAAAACGAGGCCAGTAATACGATTATTAGTGGCGATCAGTAATGGAAAGATTATTAGTGGCGATTAGTGATAGAAAGATTATTAGTGGCGAACTGGCGATCAGTAATGGAAAAAATTTTAGTGGCGATTAGAAATGGAAAGATTATTAGTGGCGATCAGTAATGGAAAGATTCTTAGTGGCCGCCACTACCGTCCCTGTGCCCCATGGCCTTAAAGACTGCACTAACATTCCCCTGCGAGGTCATCAAGTCGGGGTCGTGAGACATTTCCTGTTCTTCCCCAAGTGGGACGCGTATCCGTCTCTTAATAAGTCTCGTTCTTATATTCATGGTTTGACTCCTAATTTATTTCCTGTGATTATTGATCATGATGTCGACGCCCTAAATCTTGACTTATCCTGTCAATGAAACATTTAAATATTTCTCAATCTTGAATATTTTTTTCAGGTTTATAGTGTAATAACTTGTATAATCATTCAAAAATGAAGCTGTTAATAGGTTTTGCGTTAGTAGCGATGGCGTCGGCCGCCAACGTCAGTGTTGCGACGAACAAAGCAACAAAGCTCCAGCAACAAAGTTGTTTCTATGACAACGCCAGCATGTCCGACACCGTATCTACGGACCTATCCGGCATCGCGGATTTCAGCTTGTCGCTGTTCAAAGTACTTTTCCCGTACAACGAGGCGGAGAATTTCTTCTTCTCGCCATACAGCATCTGGAGTGCTCTGGCCCTGGCGTATTTCGGATCTCAAGGCTCCACTGAAAAACAACTTCGTCAGGCTCTTGGAGTCAAAGATAAAGTTGACACTCTCAGGAAGTGGAGAGAACTCGAGTTCCTGTGAGTAATTTATTAGAAAGTGGTTGAATTTAGTGTAAAAATTTGCATCTAAATCGATTTTTGAAATATATTAATAAATTATATTAAAAACCAAATTTAAAAATATTTTCAATAGAAATCCTTTCGTTTACACAAATGTTACTCTCGTGTTGGAAATTTATTTTTTTCTTGGCTTTAAGTTCCCTAAACGATTTATTGACAATTATATTCCCACAACCAAATTCTCGAATTTCCGTTTTCTGTGTTTTAGTTACAAGATGCGCAGCCTGAACAAGAGCGACTACACCCTGAACCTGGCAAACCGCGCATACTTCGACAAAGCCGTCAAACTCAACCCCTGCCTCGAGAAGGTCCTCAGCAGCGAGCTCGTCGTCGCCGACCTCAGCGACGTGAGTCTTGACCAGTTAATTAGGTACACGGTTTATAATTGGTGATTTAATAGGCAAAAAGTCGACTGGAAACAAATGCGGTTTGTTATTATTGACCCACTTCCCTTTCGACAAAAAATTAAGTTTTCGGCAAATTTTTATTTTATCTAATTTTCATATATCTATATTTTCCCACTTTTGTGTTGCATGTTATTTAACTTTTAGAATCATAAGATTGAATTTCATCTCGAAAATTACTATATCTGTTTATCAACACACCATTGCATGGTGTTTGTTTCTTCTATCATTATAGTATTTGATCACGTCTTTCAAATGAATCATTAACAGAAGTATTATATATTTCTGACTGCCACCGCCTACGGCTCGTTAGCTCGCTGTTTGCATATGAAATTAAATCTTAATTGAATGACCAACGCTCGTCCGTGTCTGGACTTCAATCTTCGTATCACAACGTAGACCTTACCAACGACTATGCCTGTATAACGATAAACTGTAACCATCGGTCTATTGACAGTAACTCTCTTTACCATGTCTATAGATACGAATAGCATTGGCGACGTTGTGAGCCATTGTTCAGGAAATGTTAATCTCAGTCAAAAAGATTATAATAGAATTTAAAATAGTTTTCGTAAACAAAGGGTTTGTCAACTGACGGCGATTAGTGTAGCAAGCTTTTCGCAAACAAAGGTTTGTCAAATGACAGCAACTATTGTCGAAAGGCATGTAAGTACAAACATCATAAATGATGATTAATATAGTCAAGTATTCGTAGACAAAATGCCCGGTTTATGAAGTGACGCTGTACGTCGCATCGTCGCATTGACATGCAAGCCGTGGCCAGGGTGACAGGATGTGGCGATGTTGAAAGGATGCTGCCTCGCAGGATGCATGAAGGATGCATTCAGTGCTTCTCGCAGTTAATATAGCGAAGTATGAGCTCAGTTTATTTATATTATGTAGTTGTTCAGCGCTAGGTGCAAGTATCAAGTGTTTTTTGGCAAGAACTTCCGTTTGCTTTTCACACACAACATGTATTTCAAGCTTAAGAATTCAAAGAATTGTGGTATTTGAAAGTATTCAGCAAGTCTCTTAAATCAACGCTATTATTCAATAAAATTTACATTCTCCATCTTCATTCTACCATATTAAAGTATGAATCAATTGACCATTTCTATTACACCGGTGTGTTAAATTTAAACATTATAAAACAATAAAAAACAACTCAAGTTATTTGGGAGCAGTTGGCGTATTATGTCAAACGGATATTTTGAAAAATAAGCATTTCCGGTACTTATTTGTAAACGTAACCACTTTCTCATTTGTTTTCTTTATTGGTAACATGAACACTCTTTTGTTTTGTTCAGGCTTCAATGGCGTCTCAAATCAACAAGTGGGTATCGGACACAACCAAAGGCCACATCAAAGACCTGGTGACGTCAGGGGATCTGTCCAACAGCAACATGGTGCTCGCCAACGCTGCGTTCTTCAAGGGCACGTGGCTCTACCAGTTCAAGAAGGACAAGACTCTCAAACGCCTCTTCTACACCAACGACACTGACATCGCCTTCGTCGACATGATGGTGCAGAAGGGCAACTTCAGGCACAGTGAGTCTAAATTCTTCTGTTCCAGTGTTGCATTGTGCTTGAATGAGTATTGTACGTCACATTCTTTTACACGGGATTTCAGTACAGCGTTGTGTTTTAATCCTTGTAATCATAATAATTTATTTTTTTAGTAATATTCGTCTTTTTAGAGAACTACATGTTTTGATTTTAATAAATTTCTTATCAATAATGCTAAATTGTATATATAATGTTTTTGAAGGTATATATGACAATAAAGTCTGGCTGTTAGCATGATACAAGTATGACTGGGTGCGATTTAGTTCAAATTATTTCATTACGGTAGCTATTTAAGTAGACTGTATTGCAATCATCTCAACTTTATTACATGGATGTCTGCCAACGAATTGTGAATTTGTGTTCGTTCGGGAACAATCGATTAGAATTTATATAGAATAGAACTATTGTCTTTTTCGAAGTCGTTAACTGACGCCATGTAATTAGCATTCACTCTGACACACCCGGATCCCCCTACACCAGCCATAATTTTTTTCTATAAATGCAAGTTACTCACCGGAAACTCAAACTTTGGACATGCCTGAACGCATCAAATAAATACTGCTCAATTTTATCCTATTCAATTTTTTAGTACACCTTTTTCGTGCCCCGTTTACAAACTGAATTGTGTCGTCGTATTCTGACTGTTTTTTTTAATTTTCAGCGAAGTCAGAGGAGCTCGGCGCGCACGTGTTGGAGCTTCCCTACACGGGGGAGTCCATCTCCATGATCATCCTGCTGCCGCCCTTCATCTCGGGCGATAAGGGCTTCGACGCGATGGTGGGGCGCCTCAACTCCACCACTCTCGGCAACGCCATCGCCGACCTCTGGCGCAACGAAGTCGAAGTCTCGCTGCCTAAGTTCTCGCTCGAACAATCGGTTGGCGACGAACTTATGGATGTGAGTTGAATTTTTTTGTAATTTTCAGTTGTCTAAGTTATTTAACACTTGTCACACTGAATATGTACTTATGTACCTAACTACACTGGTTACGATTATAACGTTGTAAAATTATGCAACGTGACCAAGCTTATATAAATTTTCGATTTACTTTGTATCCTAACATTCCATTACCCGCTTAGTTTTCTTTTTCTTGGTTGCGTTCCAGAAGTACTAATCATTAGTAAAGAATTCTAAAAGTATAATCTCATGTCCACATACTGTACATATAATAGTCTCCCCGATATTTAACACTAACAACCAAATTCACTTGCAGGCACTGACGAAGATGGGCGTGACTGACTTGTTCGACCGCTCGCTGGCCAACCTGACCGACTTCTCCGCCGACGAGCCGCTCAGCGTGGGCAAGAGCATTCACAAGGCCTTCGTCGAGGTGTCGGAGGAGGGCACAGAAGCCGCTGCCGCCACCGCCCTCATCTCCTTCAGGTGAGTCCTGGCTCTACAACAGCACGGCCTATAATCCATACCATTCAGTACTGTATACATTTTAATTCTGTTCAGTGTGTACGTTGTCTAATTTCGGGAACTGCATCCCTGTGTACATATCACTACGTCATTCTCTTATTTGCTTCTCCGCGTACACTTGATCACTCTCTGTATTTACGGCTATGTGCACTCCAACAATTTTCTAGTTACCTCATAACAAGATTCCCAAACCTGTAGCATTAACAATTTAGTCCGTTGTTACATTGCTATGTGATCTAAGACAGCGTTGTTGTCACCAGATCTGCGCGCCCAGCCGGCCCCTCGAAGTTCGAGTGCAACCACCCGTTCCTGTTCATCATCCACGACAACGTCACGAAGAACATCCTCTTCATGGGCGCCTACAAGTCCCCTAAGAAGGCCGGCAAGTCCAAGAAGGTCTAAAAATGTTGTTCCTTTCTTCATAGCTTTAGCTAAATATGTAGCCTGCTATTCTTTAAGTTTAGTTCAGCGTGTTTGCTTTGATGGGTTTGAGGTGAACTGGATTGCAGTCCCTCTTGTTGATTGTTAGTCCCAGAGGGAGTAGGAGTGAACTGTAAAACGCGGTTGTAAGGAATGTAGTTTTAGTTCAGATAATAAATTTTTTCAGTTCCTCGGCTCATCTTAGACTAAGAACTTGAATGGCTGCTTCATTTTTGTTTCGAACTTCTAAAGAGGTTTCAGTTGGCAACATGAAAACTATAGCTTGAATATTAGTGTGCAAGTACAGTGATTGGATAGAATATAAAATTGGGTGTTTGAAGTTAGGAAATATCGTCATGTACGGTTGTGCTACAAGCTAGTGAATGATATGAAACAGCAAGCTGCGCACTCTTGGTCTACTGACCTCAATAATTAAACGACTTAGCGGAACCACTGTATCAAGTGTTGAAAATGTAACAAATAAATCGATCTAGTAATTATATTATAAGACTTCGGCCGAAATGCCCTGTCGGTATCGAATCATACTTGTTGCACTAGCCTCAACTAGAACTACTATGAACTAATTCAGAGGTCATCTGAATCTTTAGCCTCCGTATGCGTACTATATTAATAAGCACCAACTAGTAGATATGAAAATGTGATGAACCTAGTACTGCACCTGGAAATCAACATGATGGGTAGCGCACTCGAAGTTTTTCGAATAAACATGGAGATATCACAAATACCAACATACGATAGATTTATCCCATTGATTGTTTTTACAACTGTGTACTGGCTTCTAACTTATTCTTTGTTATTGCTTTGTTGTAAATATTTCCCTCGAACAAACTATCGCAAGACTGATTGTTTTAGGTATCTGACGTACATTTTACCGGCCAATAAAATTGTATTTTATTGTGGTTCGTTTCAATAGCCGGCCTCAGGACGAAGTGGCACTTATAGAACGTACCAGCATACCATTGTGAATTCATTGCTGCATGAATTCACAGGTAGCCATAATTTTGCACAAATTATACTTCGATATAATATATACTACAATACTATTCTATTCTATACTAAGTAGTATTATTATACAATTGTAGTATAATAATACTTATACTATTCGAAACTACAAGCTTCATAATTTTAGATTATATTAGATAAGTTCTGTAATGTAACGAATATCTGGAGGAAGAGCCCAGAGCTCATTGCCAAAGAAAGCGCTGTGAAATTTGATAGTGAAGTTTACTTTTCGTCGGAAATCTTAGGTTTTAAAGCGTTTCCGAAGTGTGTATACATGCTCGAATACTCACTATAAATTTAACAGTGAATGATGAAGAAGATAGTAATGTGACAAGGTTATGCAAAATCTATGAGAAATAAAATTAGAAAGGTAGACAATAATTATTGATGAAAAATGTTTCAGAATGAATTAAAATCAAGACATTTTATAAAAGCGTGCGTGATAGATGTGTACGGAGAGTAAATTTAAAATTTACAAACGTGGCATTATAGTTACACACGAATTGCGACCACATGTTACTCAGACGAGCTAACTAAAAACGTGACGATGGTATCTGTGATACCAAAGGAAAACGATAACAACATAATATTAAAAGTAACGAAAATGGCAAGCTCACAAAGCAGCGTTTCCCGACACGAAACGTTCACGTTGTGCTGCTAAACGTTTCTCAATCGGATCAGCGTTCCGATGTGTATTGATTCTCAACAGTATAGTATGATGAAACGTTGAGTAAAGATTCATCGGTGACTCAAATTACTGCACACTCCCGATTGAAACATTGAGGCTTCATACCATCGATAACTTTTTCATTGATAAAAATTTTATTTTCAACATTATATTATTTTTGCAGAGGCGAGGGCCCTGACAGTGAAACGTTTACTGGCATGTGATGGTTTGCTGCTTCCAAATTTCTATCATAAAAACAGATATGGACCTGGAATTACGTATTCAACTGATTTGAAAAAAAAAAGACTTAATTTAATCCCGTTTGCGTTTCGAGGATGTTTTAAATCCCTTTCAACCATCTTAAAGCCGATAGTGAAATTGAATAAATTAAATAACTGACTACCTTAAATACATAACTTCTTAAAACTAGTAATGACTCATAAAACCTCTGAACAACCGGTCATATATCTGACGCTAAATTAATGTTGATTAAGCGTTTAAACGTTGAATTCGCGTCTCTCAAACGTTTTTTCAGCGACATTTGCACGGAGGTTAAAGTATATTCGTTTGCCTTAAACAGCGCGGCATACTGTCGCTTCAACCTCTCCTTGATGAAATTCTACAACGCTCATCACTTTTAACATTTCTAAATACAAAATTTTTTAATCGTTTGCCCTGAACAGCGCGGCATACTGTCGCTTCAACCTCTCCTTGAGGAAGTTGTAGAAGGCGACCTCGACGGTCATGTTGCGCGCGATCTCAGCTCGCACCCATGGCGCCACCTTCGGCTTGTAGAAGTTCTTGTTCATGAAGAACTGCTTGCCGTGGATCTTATCTGAGAACAAATATTCATACCTTTAATGACAATGATTAATAAACTACTATTTTTGTATTTAAAAATTGTGGGAAATATTACGTAATTTTACATTCAAGAGTTCGTTAGAGCAACAGCGCGGCTTTTTTCTAAATCCATAGGTTTTAGTAGGTTATATTATATTTTAGAGTACGGTACCGTACATTAAAATTTGAAAATGTTTGAATGTTTACAGTTAGTGCATCATATTGGTTTTAGTATACTTTTTAATACAGAGACTTGATGCTACTTATAGCACCACCACACCACCCATAGCCTCACAACACCACCCATGGCCCCACCACACCACCCATCGCCTCACCACACCACCCATGGCCTCACCACACCACCCATGGCCTCACCACACCACCCACGGCCTCACTCCATGGCCTCACCACACCCCCCATGTCCTCACCACACCATCCATGGCCTCACCACACCACCCATGGCCTCACCACACCATCCATAGCCTCACCGCCCTCACCATAATACTTAGCCGTGACGTTAGCAAAGAAGCGTGGCACGTAGCGCTCCAGCACAGCCAGCGTCAGCGGCCACTCCTCCAGCAGCCCCACGACGGCGTAGCTCTTCTCCACGTGACGCTTGGCCAGCGCCAGCGCCTCTGCGCTCCCAAACTTCCTGACCACCGAAATTGTAGTGAAAAATTTAGTATTTATAGTTCATTTGGCAAAAAAACATGAAAATCAAATAAAAATAGAAATTGTAATATCTTTACCACTAGGGCTCACAGCTGAATAGGGAAAGTTTGGGAAATACATTCGCTCCCGAACTTCCTGCCCAGAGAAATTATCGTGTAATATTCAGCAGCATTTTCGGTTAATTTGGCAAATTAAAAGATTAATCAAATGAAAACAATCATGGTATAGTATATTCCATTAAAAGTAACTAAATCAATGGGGAAAGTTCAGAGGAGTTAAAAATCGGAGGTCAAAGCTAGGCGCTTTTTCCTTTGCAATGTACATGGGAATTGCTATTACATATTTATTCGAGTAGCAAACCTCAACTTTCTTCCATCATCATCAATGAATCAAATAAGAAAAATGTAAATCCAGCACAAATATTAAATTTATTTATTGAAATTTATATTTTAATTAAAATTTATGCCATTCATGAAACTTTTACTTGAGATACGCGAAGCTTTGTTCCCTCAATTTACTTCACGGTTCCTTTTTTTGTTAATTTCCTCATATTTTCAAGAGAATTTGAAAGACATTTTTTGCCCTGGAATAAGTTCAGTTGGCATCGTCTCACTGAGACCTTCTTGGATCTTTACTACACGCCGTGCTGTGCACATGACAGCCCTGCTTAGATATTGTCCTTATTACACGCTGAGTCAATATCCTCTCTATTAAACACGTACCCTGACTTCATTCTATGCTTTGCCCATCGCAATGCTGATGCACCGCCTTAGACGCCGAACTCTCGGTGCTCGCTACCACCGCGCTACAGTGACTGCGGATGGTCAACTCACGCGCACTGCGGATGGTCAACTCACGCGCACTGCGGATGGTCAACTCACGCGCACTGCGGATGGTCAACTCACGCGCACTGCGGATGGTCAACTCACGCGCACTGCGGATGGTCAACTCACGCGCACTGCGGATGGTCAACTCACGCGCACTGCGGATGGTCAACTCACGCGCACTGCGGATGGTCAACTCACGCGCACTGCGGATGGTCAACTCACGCGCACTGCGGATGGTCAACTCACGCGCACTGCGGATGGTCAACTCACGCGCACTGCGGATGGTCAACTCACGCGCACTGCGGATGGTCAACTCACGCGCACTGCGGATGGTCAACTCACGCGCACTGCGGATGGTCAACTCACGCGCACTGCGGATGGTCAACTCACGCGCACTGCGGATGGTCAACTCACGCGCACTGCGGATGGTCAACTCACGCGCACTGCGGATGGTCAACTCACGCGCACTGCGGATGGTCAACTCACGCGCACTGCGGATGGTCAACTCACGCGCACTGCGGATGGTCAACTCACGCGCACTGCGGATGGTCAACTCACGCGCACTGCGGATGGTCAACTCACGCGCACTGCGGATGGTGTCCACAGAAGAACTCGATGGTGTGGCCGAAGTGCGTGCGGCCGACGTGGCGGCGACACTCCTTGTCTTGTGGGTCATCGAGACACGCTTCGATGCTCTGTGATGTGAGTAGAACTTGTTTAGTATAATTAATATTATAATTTATGGTGCAGTGTTTATTCAACGCATCATGTATATTAAAAATCATTATTATTGGTGCGTTCTTATCTTGCGTTAATGCACTGTAAGAAAAATATTAACTAACGATTGTTCAATACACCCTTGATTTACGATTTTTAGCCTAGAATAAAAACCCCTGCAACCACGCACTATGTTCACGTCAACAAAATAAAAAAAAAGACAAAATTTCGTTTGGATATTTTAGCTACCTAACTTTTACAATAAGTTAAGTTTATGGTATATTAATACTATACTTTAAGGTAAGGTAAACTTAACTCTACCACATTTAAATAGAGTTTTCAACATTTGTTACTACCCAAACCCAGATCTTCTTGAGGAAGATGCGCTTGAGGACCTCGTGGTCCGGGAAACGCGCGTGACACAAAAAAAACGTAGCCAATTATTCGCCTAACATTATTTTCGTCACTTAACTCGTTCAAGATGTACATTTGTTACGTCTCAATAATTGACCTTCTTGAGGAAGTTGCGCTTGGGGAGCTCGAGGTCGGGGAAGAGCACGTGGCGCTCGACGACCTGGTAGGGCGCGCGTGCGCGGTAGAAGAGCGCAACCGCGCGGTCCACGGGCTCGCGCACCACGCTCACCTGCACGGGCTGCCGCCCCCCGTACCTGCGCATGGGAGGAGGGGTTGGGGGGAAGGGATTAGGGGATGAGGGGTTAGGGGGGAGAGAGAAGGGGTTAGGGGGAAGGGGCGTTAGGAAGAGGAGGTAATAGAGGGTGAAAAATCGGGGTGTTAGGGGGGAAGGTGGTGTTAGAGGGTGAGTTGGTGTGACCTTACTGGGTAAGAAGAGGTTAGGAGTTGAGAGGCGCTGGTCATTTTGAGTGGTTGCTGTTTGAAATCGAGAATATCCCAACTCACGTGGCGAAAATGTCCCCCCAAAATCCCCTCACTTGCCCCAGATATCCCCTCACTTGCCCCAGATATCCCCCAAATATCCCCTCACTTGGGGAAGTCGAGGTATGCGAAGGAGTGGACGAGGGCAGTGGCACCCCTCATGTGGGCGGTTGTGTTCACGATGCGCGCCTGCCGCCGCAACAAATAATTAATACAAACTATTAAATAATTTATTGTATTGTATGAGTGTTGAGTGTATAATGTATTATATACTAGCAGGTAAATAGCTCGATCGTGCACATCTAGAATTCCGTTCTCTCGAATCCCGCCATCATCACTCCCATATGAAAGTCGTTTCAAAATAAGAAAAAATGGTATGCGCCTTTTTACTTAAATTTATAAACATTAATTAAAAAATTAAAAATCGAATCTGGATATAACTTTCTCCTACCAGCCGTGCAACACCTTGCTATTCTCCCACTAAGAATAAAATGAAAAATACCTTCCGGGAGAATTACAAGGGAAACCTCTGTTGACACTTTGAAAGGACACACAAGAAAATGTCAGTATCAATAGTCTGTCTTTCATTATAGTTGTTTTCACTATTTATTTAAACACTATTTGTAGTTGTTTTCACAATTTAAACGTTTAAAATTGCTGCCCTCCGCTTTTACAATTATTCTGCGACTACATAGCAGTCATGTTAAGTTAACCAGGATAAATTAATCTTCCGCTGATGTTAATAATAATAATAATAATATAATATGATAATTATAATAGTCATCTTCCGCTGATGTTAATTCTAATTTAGTAATTTCGGAACATTTTTAATCTTAATCATTATGTTGTTACAGCATCATTTAACTATCATTCTATTTCGATACCTTGACTTCTTCCTTATCGATATGGACGATCAAGGTCTTCTGCGGTGGTTCTGATATCAACTTAAAGTGGTTCTCAGTTTTAAGGAAGCCAAGGAGGTTCTTGACGGAGGAAGAACCGCTCTGCAGGATGGGGGTGAACAACAGCTGCTCCGGCGCCCCCCGCGGGGTTATGTTCAGGGGGGGACCGAGGGGGACTTTCTGGGGAGGGGAGAGGGGCAAATCACTAAAACAGGAATGGAGGTACCTTTCTTGCGCGGTAACAAACGCATAAATATGTCATAGAAGTTCACAAATCATAAAAAAATAATACTGATCAAGTAATACTTGAAAATCATTTTATTACCCAATAATTAAATTAAAAGTTTAATCACAGCCATTATATCAATGTTGAAAATCAGTAGGTATTGCAGTACTCCAGTTGAATGAATATATGGTGAGACTGTATAAGGATCGATGTAGTTAGGTATGTATTTCAATAACAGTGTCGAGATGAATGAGAATATTTATTATTTAATAATTATCAATATTTATTGAATTAGGATATTATTTATGATTAGTCCGAGAGCATTATTTTCTACCGAGACTGAAAGAGGGGAAATTCTGGAATATCCCAAAAGAGGTACACACAACATTAATTTTACTAGCAATAGAATTAACATGGAAAAATTGAATAATTCGGAGGGAGTTCAAATTAACGATCCTTCTTCGCAACGTTCAAGTCTGCTGTTCTTTTTTTAATAGGTATAATATTGGTGAAACGAGAATGAGTGAGGGTGTAGAATAGTGGGTAGAATGAGAGAGTGAGAGTGTAGAGTGTGGAGTAGAATGACGTGCTGGTGTTAAAAATGTAAATTAAATAATTTAAGAGCATGTGAGATTTGATGGCGATGCTTTAAATTAAACGAAAGGGTAACACTTTAACCACACAATCCAAGCTCAAACGCAGTGAAAAACCTCGCCAATTTACCGTCATTTTTGTTGCGCGGAGTGTAAGCAAATTGCTTGAGCTACAAGCAACGGTTGATAACGTCCGTCTCCAGCCACAGGTAATCAATTTCCCTTTCAATATCACTGAAGGAACGCGTCAAGTACAAACCTTTCCATGCGGTTACCGACTCAAGGCTACAACCGTCGTTGGGTTTTCACGTCAGGCGCGGTTAGTGAAAATAGCTTCGAATATCGGTAACGTCTGACTTAAATAATGCGCTATATTGTCTCTGGTTGCGCTCGTTTCGGCTGCTAATTCATGAATGTTTTCACTAGCCTCACCTGTGGGTGGGATTAGAGATTGAATAAAATTTAAAAATTTAGTGGCAGCAGTTGTGCGTTAGTGAGCGATCAGTGGCCTTACACAGTGGAAGTATAAGACGCGCAGTGAGTGGTGCAGTGAGTGTCGCAGTGAGTGTCGCAGTGAGTGTCGCAGTAAATGTCGCAGTGAGTGTCGCAGTGAGTGTCGCAGTGAGTGGCGGAGAGAGAGGCGTCCAGTGAGTGGAGCACTGAGTGGCTAACTTAATAGCGCAAAAAGACACGCAGTATGGCGCGCAGTGAGTGACAGGATTAAATCTGAGTAACGGCTTCCAATTGAAAAATAAAACGCTAACAAATAAAACAAATCAACAGATGAGACACAAAATAAAATTAAACATATTCCAGCACAGACTGAAATCAAGTAAAGAAATTAAATTCTCCATTCAATGAAAAAATTTAGAATTGAAATGTGTTGATTCTTGGCATCGGAACCCAAAACGCTAGGTCAGCGCACCTAGAGAAAGCTGCGTGGTGTTTCTGGAGGAAGAATTAATGAAGGTTGGGAGTGAGGGCAACCCCAAGGGAAAGTCGGGGACAAGTGCTGGGAACGAAGTTGCAGAGATAGGGGATGGGCGATGGGAAAGGAGAAGAAGAAAAACTGGGTTGAGCAGATAAGAAGAGGAAAGCAATGTTTTTAGAATAGAGGAAAGAGAGAAAAAAGAGAAAACTGGGTTGTAGAGACAAGAAATGATAGAATTGAGAAAAAGAAGATTGTTTGTGGAGAAAAGGATGGTAGAAGCGAGAGGTGAGCTACTGGGTTGCGCAAATTCTAATATTAGCAATGAAGATAATCAAAGATGGTAAGGCATCGGGGTCAATAAAATCAAGCTATGTTATGGTATAGGGACAAAATAATTTCATCCGTATACCATTACATGGGATGATGTAGTGATGGAAGCTCATAATATAATATTGCGTCCATAATAAAATAATAATGTGGTGTCAGTTTTAATAAGGCTACGAAAGCCTATCGCCGACTCTCAACCATCCGACCATCTTTCCAATTTCGACCAGAATTTTCACAAAGAGATGCAGGTTTCGAACCAATTCGCTGCTCAAATCTTGGTAATCTTAAGACATTCGACCGCGTCATCATTTTTCTGCCTCATTACAGTTCAAGCGTCGTAGCAAACCAATTCGTTTGACACGAAGCCTAATCAGGAAAAGCGACATAGTACAAAAATTTTCATGGAGACTAAACTAAACCTGGATGCTATATAGGGTGTTGTAGTCTGGTTAGCGTTGTACGACGGGGCTATACAAGAGTCACATCTAAGAGAGGATATTCAAGATGGAGAAATCGAAATGAAAGGCTCTCAACATTATCGAGCAGACCTACAGCAAGGCAGAAAAAAAGGAGGCTTTATAGTCTACCCTCTAAACTCCCTCGCGGCAAAATCAGTGCCTCTCTTCCGTGTACCGACTATTTATAGCGAACAGTGCCTGTTCCGTACCGCCTGACTGCCATCCGCAAAAATTCAGTGAAACTCTTGAGAGAATAGAAACAGAGTTGGCCAATTTGGGTGAACCTTCCCCAAATATTGTGGTTGCAGCAGATTTTGAGGATACTTAATGACAGCTGCAAGACTCGCACGAGGCTGAGCAACAAGTAGCGGAGACGCGAGCTGTAGCGGAGACGCGAGCTGTGGCTGCCTTTCGGGAGAACCCCAAATATTTCTACAAATATGCCCATGTCAAAAGCCAAAATCAGAGACGCAGTGGGGCCTCCGAGAAATAACGACGTCCTTATTAGAGACGACCAGGGCATGTGCGAACTGCTATAGCACAGTTTGAATAAGTATTCAGCGAACCCTGATACTGAAGACAGGAGAACGAATTTGGAGTCCTTCAAGTACTACCGGGGAGGAGGAGGGGGCGGGTGCTGATGAACATCGAGTTTGAAATACCGGATCTAGAAAGGAGTATGCAATAATTATCGACTTATTCGGCTCCTGGACCAGATCGAGTCCCCGCAGTGATACAGAAAAATATTTTGGTGCCCTAGAGGTCCTTCTGAATTTGCTCTGGAAAACATCATTGAGAATCTACAAAAGAGGGGCGAGAGACAAACCCCAAAATTACAGGCCGGTTACATTAGCATCACATTTGAGAAGGTCGTACGCAGAAGGTTGGTTCTGTACATAAAGGAAGCTGTCCTTTTCAACAGAAGACAACACGGTTTTAGGCGAAATCGTTCCTGTTTGTCTCAGCTACTGGAGAATACCCCCAAAAGTTGGAAGCATCACCACCAAATGCCACCTCTTCCATGCTGGATGAGGGGGCCTGGAACGTGGTGTATTTAGACTTCGCGAGAGCGTTGGACAAAATTGACCAAGGAGTGCTCTTCAGAAAATTAAGACTACTGTAGGTCGGAGGTGATTTGTTGGCATGGTTCCACAGCTTCCTAACTGAAAGACTACAAGCTATCGTTGTTGGAGGCTCGAGATCGAGCGAGGCTAGGGTGAAGAGTGGAGTACCACAGGGAACGGTACTCGGCCCTATCCTCTTCCTCATCCACGTGGCCAATATAGATGTTGCAGTGAACCATGACTGGATGTGTTCTTGGACACAATCCTTGATGGTCCGCTAATGCACCTCTAGCAGCGGCGAAAAGCAAGCAATAGCATTGTGCTTCAGCTTGCGCTATAGTTAGAGGCGGCGATCCATCGTGGCCGGAACTGCCATGTCCGAAACATGTACTAAGGATATACAGCCACACAGCCATGCCATCATTCAGCTGTGCAGCCAAGGGGAAAGTGAGGTACAGTGGGATACGTCTCACACGTCAATTATTTAATATACCTAAAAAGGGGACCAAACCTTTTTCTGCCACGTCATTCATTGCATTGACATGTGTGTCATTACTAGTGAACTGCTGTTGAATATTATCCTTTAAAATATAAAATTTCCAACGTGTCCCACTGTCCTCCATGACCTAGTGTACCCCCACTTTCCCCTACATCCACGCAGCCATGCAGCCTCTTGCGTGATGAACAGCACAAGGAAAGAGCGGCACTCGACACAGAACACTTAGAAAGTAATAACTGAAAATCACAGAAATCGCTCCGTGTTTTACAAATTTACAAGCATATTTTATCCTGAGTACATCCTGAAGCTCTACTTTCAGTGCAGGGCAAGCGAAAATCAAGTTCTTTATGCAACAACGATGCTCGGTGAATGTGAGCAGAGAAGGTTTACACACAGGAAATACATTGCTTTTTTTTGTAATGTTAGATTAAAATGCATTCTTATCCAGTAAACAAAATCTGTTTATTCAGTACCCTTCATTTCAAGTTCACATAGTGGCAGAATTTCGGATAAAATTCTGTATTAATTAAAGACCATTATTTTCGAATTTGAAGCCAAGTTTCCCATTTATGGACGATCACTCACCCGACTGATTTGTTCCTTCTTCCCGACTGATTTGTTGTTCAGGATGTTCGGGCCCTCGGGAGGTCCTCAGGCTGGACTGTTGCAGCTGCACCTTCTCCGCCGTGTAGGACACGACCGAGAGGTGCACGTACAGGAGCACCGCGCATGGCGTGCATACCATCGCAACCACGTCGCTCAGCCTGCGAGCATCAGGCGTATTAGAGGGGCTGGCGCTTCGCGGTGGTTTGGGAACACGAGACGTATTAGAGGGGCTGGCGTTTAGTAGATTGTGAACACGAGGCGTATTGGAGGGGCTCGCGTTTGGTGGTGATTGTGAACACGAGGCGTATTAGGACTGGCGTATGGTGGTGGTTTGCGAACACGAGGCGTATTAGAGGGGCTGGCGTATGGTGGTGGATTGTGAACGCGAGAAGTTTTAGAGACTGGTGGTGGCTTGTGAACACGAGACGTATTAGAGGGGCTGGCGTATGGTGGTGGTTTTGTGAACACGAGTTTTGTGAACACGAGACGTATTACAGAAGCAGGGGTTTGTTGATTATGAAAAGACGTTAATATTAACGTCAACATAAGACGTTGATAACAATGTCTCTTGAGGCTAATGCTGACGTCTCTTGCTTGCGTTATCAAAAGTGTACCGAGTGTGAGGATTCGGTGGGTCGGTGCGGTGAGCTACACCCTGCCATCGTTCGTCACGGACGGGAGAATATGTAGCACTCGATCTTATCCAGCGAGCGGGGGCTTAATTACTAGAATCGAGGCTATAATCATACGATTCTATGATAATAAAATGCAACGCAACATTTAAATCGCGCTTAGTGATAAATGATTTGCTGAGAACATCGCATTTCATTTTGCGGGCTAATACAATGAAAAATATTTTAAATTTATTATATTGAACGAATTTGATAATAAGCAAAATAGTAGACCCATATATCATTAGTTGTCAGGCCCCTGCTATTCTAGAATAGCAAGGGGCCTAATTTGTCCCTATAAGTCAATTTGTCTAGTTTTAATAACGGATAGTAGACAATCGAAAAATAAACAATGAAAAATTATTGCCTAATTGAGAAAATTACTTTATATGACTCAATTTTTTAGAACGAAAGTTTGGACGACATGTCTGGTTTATCGAAAATCGTTCAATATATTCAATATATAAATATAATGCATGGAATCTATGATTAACCATTAATTTAAGGCTCACCTGTAGCGGCGTCTGCCCATGATGGGTGGCGGTTGTTGCATCAATGGACACAATTTTTATAGTTTATTAAACACGGCCACGCGATAATTCATTATTTCATAAATACTTTAGCTTCTTATATGATTGATAACCAATACATTATTTCGTCACCACAAACTGGCAGAAAAAGCCAGGAGTTATTATTAGTGAACATCAAGTTCACGAAATAAATATTTTTTTAAATTGCACCTGTAAAAATAATCATCTTTTTAAAACCCATATTGATTAATAATATTTAGTGTACTTTGAGCTTAACGTTGATTATTTTCAAAATGTTTAATCAAGCTAGGATTTAATTTATGCCAAGACAAATCCGTTTCGATTTTCGAACATTTAATGACGACAGATCACTAAGACGGTGATGGTAAATCATCTTCAAACGATCATTAAGCCGGTGGTGCGAACCATCTCAAATGATCGTCATGACAGGATTTGTATTTTTAATAAATCATGAATATTACAATTTACGTAATAGCAAGCTACTGAATGAAAGTAGATTCGACAATGCTACGCAATGCTCACTCCAATACTAAATACTACCGGTTACGCTTTAAATATCAACTAAAATTTATATTATCCATTATCATTATATTTACAATGCAGCTAAATTCGTACACACATTGCAGCGCCCCTGTCAAGGAGAGGTTGCATGTAATGGCAACTACAAAATATCTTCGCAACATAAAATATACGAGATCGAATTTCATAACAATTCATTTGTGAGGAAGGGGTCGCACCTATAGATATATGTATATTCTACTGATGACGTAGAACAGAAAAAGAATTAAAGAAACAGCTCGGTTATGACTATCATACTATGTAAGTGTAAAGTCAAAGAGATTACTGTATTATTTACGCAACAAGGGCCATGACTTTGCAACCAGAATTAGAAGCAGACATGGATCTCAGAATAGCAGGAGTTGCGGCATCGTTTGGCAATGCGTGGTGTTTGGTGCGCCGGCAATCCGGTTCTGAGGTCCCGTACGGTCAAGGAAAAAAACACGTTCAGGTTCATTAGTTCGAGGCAGCGTATACACCTGAGCGTAGAATGTACTGCCTGTGAGAACATGGGCCGTAGTATCGGTAGTAAACTCAGCGAAATGCATGGGTTATGGTGCCAAAATAATTACACGCCTTCTTACGTTACGTATACTGAGGCGAGTTTTGATTCACTGTGGTTCTAACAATTAACAATGAATTACAATTGAATACAACCATTTTCGATTGAATACAACCATTAAAACAATTAACAATGAATGAATTTGAGCAATGTTTTATCAATGAATCATGAATCAATATCAAACAATATTCGAGCAAGACGTCATGTTCGTAATAGATATGGCAGAAAGTTAAGCCGATACTGCCGGCTTAACTTGCCGGCTCTTTACTGCGAATTGGGTTGACTATACAATTGGCATTTCTGTGCCGCATTCAATCTGCGGTCACGTTGGGTTTCGTGGACATGCGCTCCGAAATATATCTGGCGATTGGCCTCTTACAAGCACATAAAAAACATGGCACGTTCCATAAATAGTGATGGTTTTTGAAGTTATTATCAGATTTTTTCAGAAAAATTTCTAACAGTAACTTTAAAGGAATACTGAATTTGCTTTCCAACAAACCATTCATTTTAATTGTTTGAAAATAACATAAAAAAAACGATTGTACGGCGTCCGTTCATCTTGAAAAATAATCGTTGCGCCCCGCTTGTCACAGTACCTATACTACTTGATGACCGCGTCTGAGTGGCTCGCCAGTGCGACTCTGGCATGATAGTCTTGACCTCATTTGACGCAGATAAAGTCGGATGGTGCGATGACCATCTGTGTCTGCTGTCTGGCTTTCCGGAGACGACGCTCGTCTTCACGCTTTTGATTGCGCAGCTCCTCGCCCTTCGTGACTCCCTCGCGAACGAACTGTTGCCAACTGCAGCGGTAGCTGCAAGCTGCACCCAGGTTTGGGTGTCGATTTTGGTTTTTTTGAGGTCGCGTTTGTAGACTTGCTTAGAACGCAGTGCCGGCGGCCATTTGAGCGTGCACCCGTGTCTAGTTCTCCATAGAACAAGTCTCATGGTGTGCTACCGTACTGCATACGATACACATTGCTGAGCAGGCAAAGGAGGAGATGCATGTTCATTTCTTATTGCGCAAGCTTGTGTTTCTTACTCAGTCCAGCCATAAAACGTTGAGAATGCGACGAAGGCAGCGCATGTGAAAGCACTCTAGGCGGTTCTCCTGTTAGGTGTACGTATTCCAGGTTTCACTACTGCACATAAGGGTATAAGGACGCATGCCTGGTGCACTTTGAGCTTGGTGTTGACAGCTGGTTGTTAAACCAAACCCTCTCGCTCACTCTGACCATCACACTGGCTGTCTTGTCAATCCTCTTATAAATCTCACTGTTGAGAGATAAGTTGTTTCTGATGGAGCCCAGGTAGGTGAAATGCACCCCTGCCTTCGCCCAGGAGAGGGCGTCGATGGCTTTACTGGGTTGTTTAACTAAGGCTCAGCGTTCAGAGCATCCAGGACAGGCAAGTTCTTAAAAGAGTTCAGCGTTTAGTGTGAAACGTAGTTTACATTGAAGTGAAGGTGGGGATAGTGTTCAATCATGCAATCTGCTCGGTCTTGTTGGCAATGGGTTCAGCCGACTAGGTTTCAATAGAGCCGTCTTTACAACCGGTCTGCCAGTTTTTCGCTGGATCCTCTCGTACAGACCCGTTAATATTGCCTGAATGTGAGGCCCACTGAATACTGTCTGATAGTAGCATCCAATAGGCGATTGGCTATTGGAATCAGAGTCACAACATGTGTCTATCATCACTAAAATAACTATTAAAACCATCATAATTAATTGCGCAACAAACGGTAGGAGTTTAGTACACGATTAAGCCATTAAAATTAGCCGAATCATTTAAATCAGATCAATGGTTGGTTATATCGCAATAAAAACTAGCTTTTGATCATATTCAAATAATATTTGAGCAGAACTAAAAAAAAACTAGAACTGCCGGCCAGCTGCGCATCGAAATCGCGTGACACGCACCAAGGTTCCTCCAATCCAGACTTCAGGAAAAGCGTGCATGAAAATGCCTTAAAAGAAAGTTCCATGCGCTGGACTGAACGTTAAAAGAAACTAATTACGCAGCGTGATCGTCTGCACGTGGTAAAACTTCAACGCGCAAATAACACTCGTGCACCGGTCTAGAGCTCCAAATGTTTTGAAAACTTCATGAAAGTTTCCATTTCACTCCAGCGTGAAGAACCTTCAATTTCTGTGGACGATTTAGTATCATTGACACAGAGACACTCGAGTCTCCCATTTGTCATACGGTAGTTTAGATATGGAGCAGGTTTTATTTCCAAGACACAGACACAAATGTTCCTCAGAAGTGATTTTTAGTTTAAGAAATGAAATATTTTCTATTGAAATACTGACATGTGAATTGCCCAACTCAATATTTATGGGTTATCTTCATGTCGGAAACTTCAACTCGGAGCTACAGGACAAGACCTTTAGGTTTAGGGCTTTCCAGTCCCTCTAGTCTGCGTACACAAGTCTTAGATCTCGCTTCATGCTTGCTCTACAATCTAGATAATGCATGCACATTAACAATTCTACAACTATAATTATTGGAATTTTTAATTGCTTTCTAAAACAACTATCTTACTGTAATGTACAAAGTTTGTCGAAGTTTTCATTTCAAGTTCGGAGTTACTCAAGTTTTGAAAGACCTCTGTTTGGTCGATACAAATTATGGAGAATTTTCTCTCATCAATAGCTAATAATTAATTTCTGTTCGTGACATAATTAGCTCAGGGGAAACGGTGCTGCACGCAGGTAAAATCATGCACCGGACTGTATAATTTTATTCATCATCCGCCATAAAGTTTCCTTACGGAAGAGTGGTTCGTATGTGACAGGCAATTATCACTGGAGTATTTTTATTGATAAGGTTTTAAAGTCGTGTGAAAAGCTAGACTTAGAATAAATTACTATTTTTTAATCCATGTACCTGTTAAAAAATAAGTGCGCAGTAAGTGGACATGACTTTATTTGACACAAACACGACAAGTATTTGAAATTTAAATGGAATCATAAACGTGAAGAAGATCGCGTCGTTACAGCGATCACGCGTTACGCTCATTATTCCAATAAATTGTTTCTCATAACAGAGACATCGTTTAGAGATTAGTTTAATATTTCGGCTATAATGCAATAAGCGAAGCGAATAGTGAAAACGTACGCGACTACTATACTAGACAATCGTACATACACATCATTGTATGCACATCAACCACTCCGTCGTATACTTTCATTTTAGTATGCTATTCAATTTAAATTTTGAGATAGCATCGCCCAAATAATCTACCCTATCCAAGTGGAATGTACCCTACGCACGCAGAAGTACCCTATGTAGTACGCACGCTGAAGTACCCTACTAACGTTGGAGCACTCAACGATTTATTAGTACCCTGCGAGCGTAGAACCTCACCTCGTAACTACCCCAGGCACGGAGGAGCTACCAAGCAGCTAGTGCGTCAGGTTTTCCAGCACCGCCAGTGTCGGCCAGCTAACGGGTTTTGGGCCCAGCGTGGGGCTAAGCTTCTTGGTGGCATTTTGCAGAGCTGGAGATTTGCAATGCCATGATAAACTTTAAAAAAATCTTTCCCAGACGAAATTTCTCTAATTAATCAAATAATAAATAGGTCATTTAAAAGATTAATGTAACTTTATAAAAAGGACAGCTTACTTCCCATTACTTTTTCATTACCTAAAATTAAAACCAAGAATTTATGCGGCATGAAATTTTAGAATTCTATTCATATACTATTTAAACACGATTTAACTTTTAGTCCTTTAGCACTAGATTTAATCCTGTTCAATTGAACTAGGAAGTGCAAGTTCCGAAATTTTCGATTTGTGGAGCACCGAGAGCTAGAAAGCCGTGAGCAGACGCAGCTCAACCTAACTAAACGGCGCGCGCGCGACCTAAATCTTAGGAGCTATCAGCCACCTTGCATGCTGTCCCGCAGCTACTCGTGAAGCGTTCATCACTATACGAATGATCAATTCGAATGATCAGCCACCATCACTGTTACCTCGCATGCTTTCTGTCCCGCAGCTACATGTGAAGCGTCCATCACAATGATCAGTCATCACGTGATCAGTGATCATCACGTGATTCGTGACT